GGACAGATAAAAACTGTCACACAGACATGTACACCTTACAATTATTCCATACACCAAATATAGTTGACCCATTGCTTATGGTAATTGAAAAACAGACCAAAACACAAAAACTTAATGTTAACCAATGAACCATGGAAATGAGGTCAAGGTCAAATGACACTGGCTTGACAGACATGTTGCAAGGAACCCATATATGCCAAATATAGTTATCCTATTACTCATAATAAGTGAGAAATTCACATGACAAAAAAAATGTAATTCTTTTTCAAGCAGTCACTGAACCATGAAAATGAGGCCAAGGACAATGGGCATATGACAGACGGAAACTTCGTAACATAAGGTATCTGCATACAAGGTGTGAAGCATCCAGGTCTTCTACCTTCTGAAATTTAAAGCTTTATACAAGTAGTTTACGCCGCCGCCGGATAGTAATACCTATGTCTCGCATACTGCGACGAAGCGAGACAAAAATCAAGAAAACAATAATCTAAACAATAAACAAATAAACACCTTCTGAATATAAATAATTACAAATTCAATCCAGATCAAACATAACTGTAAAGAAAACACATTAACTAAGGCATTATAAGATTAGAAGTTGCTGATGTGATGCCTGATTGTCCATTTTAACATTATGCTGTTTTTTGGAGTGATGCTTTGCTCTAATATGCATGGTGCAACATGTTCGTAGCTCCCAAACACAACTTCAGTTCAACTTCACAAAGTTGACTTTTTTTATAGATTTAATGTCAATGCTTCTTTTTAAGTATTTTAAAACTGAAGATTTCGGCGGCATGTCATTTATTTGACAATTTTGTGCAAACATAAGAAACCGTTTTTAATTATGATTACTTTTAATTCTCCGAGGGGTGTCTTCCAGAAAGCTAATTTCATGGAAAGAAAGAAACAATATCCAAACAGGAAATAGATTAATCGAGTATCATTTTGGTATTAGATACTCAGTAATATGGAACGATACTCGAGTATTCATTGACATCCCTAATTACAACCATATTTGAATACAATTAAGGAAAAATACAACTTATTCTATTAGGAGTCCAATGTATGCAATGGTAAAATCAAATGTACATGCATTAACTCTTGGATCAGAGTGCTTTATAAAAAAAAAGTATCTCCTTTCACAAAAAGCTGACATTCAGCATTTTTTTTTTCAAGAGCACACACTTTTATTTTATAATACAGTCATGTACATGATGAAGAGTTAACTATATTTTGTGAATTGACATAATGACTTGTCAGGAATTTCCAAGTACAATTAATGAATTTGACGAAAGAACAAAATTGAGAAAATATACATTCTCTTTATGTAAAACATTAGGCTAAAAAAAAATCCAAGTTTTCTCCATTATGTTTCTCCATATGTTCTCTCATTTTCAATTTTTAAATAATCAAATTAATATAATTTAAACCAAGGTTTTGATCAATCCAGGCATACTGAAGTTTATGGTGTGCAGTATGTGAAAAAATGCATTAAATCTAAGAGATAAAGTATTCAACATGTTCAATATTGAAAGGGAGTTTTCTTCAATCTATCCTAGAGTTTTGTTAAAATTACTTTCAAATTGGTTAACTCAAACTTGAGTTATGGTAAGAAGTGTTGATGAATGGACAGATTATATTATACATTGTAAATGTCCTGTGCACGTCTTAGACAGGCTTATAAAATCTAAAACAGCATATTCATTTATCATGTTTATAAACAGATAAGGGATAGCTAGTCTTTCTCATTTTTCAGTACATAATTTAAGTGAGTAAGTTAACTGTTACAGATATGATTGTTAATATTTTCTTAAATTGTTTCATCAGGTGAATTTAACATCAGGGTTTTACTGAACGTTTTATATGAATACAGTCATAACATTGTTGTACCCAGTATATATATGCCTTCAATTAGGAACAGAAAAGTTTATTGGCTATACAAGGAAACATAGCTATAGGATCTAAAATTGTAATTGGACATGCCAAGGAATGGCCCAACAGACAGAGTTAGGTCTCTTCTGCATTTCTGGATGTTTTTCCTTAAGTCCTAAACCACAGGCAAATAATCAGATCATAAGTTGCGTCATTCTGCTACAAAATGTACATACATGCTTTATGCATGTTATGTACAGTCAAGGTAAGCAATTAATTATTAATTTTTATGGTCTTCTTCTAAGGAACAAATTCACACTTACATTGTACATTTTGTACATCATATCATGACCTACATGTATTTTACACCAACTCTCCTTTAACAGGTTGGGGAATATTTTGATAAATGGGTATTATCCCCATTGATTGGTATTATATTCTTCAGTGATAAAAATAAAAAACTTTGGATGTCAAGATATTTGCTGTCTGACAGTCATGGCTGAAACATTCAGGTTAAGGACAACATTTTGCCGAAAGACACCAGAACTGCAATATCAACTGGATAAAAGTTTATAGCCTTGAAAAAGTAGGATTTTTGAAGGTCATTATCTTTGCATTCAGTTCATTTGAACTATGGTCTTGAAGGGAAGTTGTTTGCCATTTATCAGAGTTCTCAAAAAGTAGTGGTCCGAAGGTTTTGACCACCAAAAGAAGGAAGTTCACTAATGGCAAAATATGGCCTTGAATTTTAACTTTATCTTAAAATATCATAAAGGTTATAATTTGGTTCTTGAATGGATCTATTTCAAAAGCCTAAATGCTAGGTAAAACATATCTATTAAAAAATAAAACATTATAGGTTTCAAAGTCAGCAAATTTTGGATATATTGTCAAAATACAATGATATGTGCATTTTTCAGAACTAAAAGGAAAATATTGGCCACAACCTACATGTGTACATTGTGTATCCATACATGTGATGGACTGTGAAACTAAGATCAGGAGTTTGGGAAATTTTGGTCAGGAGATTAGGACTCAGATCAGGAGGTTTTTAATCGACATAAATTCTGTCGTAAATGTAACCGTGTGCTGTAGAAATTGTCTGTTAAAGTGTGTTTTCTTCAACTTTCCATCCGAATGTATTATGTTTATAGTACCCTTGTACTTATAAATTTTCTCTATCTTTTTAAACTTTCAACTTGTTCAATCTAACATTCTTCTTTTTTAGTATGTTCTTTAAATTTTTTAGGTCATATTTTTTTACCATTATTCATTGCAATCAGAACATTTGCTTATCTATCTGCAAGTAGATCTTTTATTTTTATCTTTATGCAAGTAGATATTTAATGCATGATAAGTAACACATTCAAACTGTAATCATGGGTCATAGTTATTATATAAATTTCAATTTAAGCCTTGAAAGGAAGTATAGAACCCTCAAATAATTTTCAAATTATTTTTTTTTTATTTGTCCTAAGACATTTTAAATCATTTAATTATCATCCTTTTATGATTATTTGTTCAATTTATATTTTATTTATATTCTTTTAAAAATTAACATTATTTAAAGGAAAGTAACTTAAAACAGGATAAATCAAGGGAAGTACCTGTCCTAAGTCAGGAATCTGATGTTCACTAGTTGTCGTTTGTTGATGTGGTTCATAAGTGTTTCTCGTTTCTCGTTTTTTATATAGATTAGGCCGTTGGTTTTCCCGTTTGAATGGTTTTACACTAGTAATTTTTTGGGGCCCTTTATAGCTTTCTGTTCGGTGTGAGCCAAGGCTCCGTGTTGAAGACCGTACTGTGACCTATAATGGTTTACTTTTATAAATTTTGACTTGGATGGAGAGTTGTCTCATTGGCACTCATACCACATCTTCTTATAACCAAGTAACCCAACATTCATTGTAAATACTGTACACAAAGTTTTATTACAAAACGGCAGTTAGCCTGAGGTAAAAATCGTTGATTACCAGTATGTTTGACACCCAAGGTGACAAGTGAAGCCATATAATTATGCATGTTAATTGATTTACAGGTAAAATATAACTTAAGGTATGTCAGTTACACCAGATATGTTGGGCTGAAATTTTTCATTCATGAAATATTTCATACACAGGATTTTTTTGTCTTCAACGGGAGGTCGGGAGGAGACCCCTGAAAACGGGATTATTGTACTCCCGTCGGGAGGTTCACATGTATGTGTATCACTGTATGATCCAAAATATTCTGTAACCAAAAGGTGCCAAGGTTAATACTGAATCCCTAAGACATACAAATGTAAACTTCTGGATAAAGGATGGCGGCCAAAGTAAATTATGGCAAAAACTGTCATAAATTAATAAAAAATTGGACCAAATCTGAGGTTACAACACAAATAATGCATACATAAGGGGTCATAACTTAGTAATTTATTTCAAGAGGTGCCAAAAGGAAGTTTTTTGCATGAATAGTAATACTATTTCTACATTGTACATGTACGTGATATTTGTAGTATTTTGGCCTAAATTAAAATCATAGGGCCAATATTGGCCCTTTGTGAACCTTCTCCTTTGCAATTTAAGGACCACCACAATTTTGGTATTTTGCAATAGATACATGTATATTAGTGAGGATCAGTAGATTTTTCTTCAAGGACCACCAGGGAAAAAAAGAACTCTGCATTTATATGATTATTTGCGACATTAAGCTATCATGATGAAATACAAAATTCATTTTTTTATCACTGTAAGTGTTAATATAATTGATCCCTAATTTCCTGTATAATACCCATTTATGAGGATCTTCCCCAACATGTTTAATACCATAATTTATTGCAAAATGTCCAATGGAATCATTCCATTATTCAAATTTACATAGCACAAATGTGTTTTGCCTGTTCTCCAATGCTTTAAAAAAATATGGAATAGTATAAAACTATAAAGCCCTCCCCCCACCCCCTTTCCCTAATCTAATTTCATTTGATGGATTGTACCGTGTCTGTAAATTGCGGTATATGTGTATGGTTTTAGATAAATATACGAATTAGTTTTTTGCGCAAAAAACAAAATCATTTAAAATTATTTGGCATTATACACTTGTACACTTGTAGGTCAGACAGCGATCATGCAAGATACGAACAGACGAACCTTTATTTGCAACTTCCCATGCAATTTCGAAAACCCATTTATTCTGCGTAGCTGCCGTTTCTCCTCTGTCCATTTCAAACTCATCCAAATCAGGTTCAACATTTTTGAAAGAGCGATAAAAACTATTTCTCCGTTTCATTTGTGCCATTCTGCAAAAGTCAAAGTGTCCAACTGTTTCACCACTAGTGTAGAATCTACGGGAAAACGGAACAAGAAACCAGCAGCATCTAACAGGTCAAGGTTATAATATAAATGTTGTACAGACTTCGGCGATAACCTAAAGATCCGGATATGTTCTAGATATATTAATCTTAGTTGAGCACAAAATTCAATAAACACTATAATGATTAATGAAAGACGCTCAATTAAGCCACTAATACATATCCGGAAATATTATACATTAACAAATAATATGTTAGGTATTTAGTCTTTAATATTGAATGAGCTAAGGTTGTATTTAGCTAAGTTTCTAAGTAAAGTTTTACCTGAATAAATATTATTATCATTATTATTGACATTCGAGGGAGCTCTGATGCTTTGGCTTTTATAAAAAAAATTATCGATTTGACTAGTTTGGAGGGAATTAAGCCTTTGTAAAATATTCAAAGTATGAAAATTTAAAGAAGTTACTATAGATTTCGATTGAAATAAATGCAGTACGTCATTCCAATGATTTGTAAGCCGGAAAGTCTCGTGACTAAATTATATTAGAAAAGACTTGGAAATCCCTTGGTAAATATACTGATCAGACTGGGTAAACGATTCATTTATTCATCTCAGTTGTCATTTATTTCAACTATCATTTTTTTTTGTATTTTATTGTGACAATATCAATTAAAAAAAAGTGGGAAAAAATACGGACTGATGGGTTTGTGATATATCTGACGATGACTTCATTAGTGCATACGAAATTTTTTTTCGATATCTAATTTCCTTTTTTTCCTTTTTTTTTATTATGTGAACGTTTCATGTGTTCTGGGAATTGAAACCCCTTTTCAAAATGGCAGGATCCGCGCCTGGACTGATTTCATAAAAATAACTTAAATGGAATTTTTGTTTTAGATACCATACGTTGAATTTATCAGTGTTAACCTTTGTTAGAATCACAAGGTATTGTATTGTAGTGTATATTGTATACGACCGGGAGTTTATTGTTTCAGCTCGAACATATATAATACGCGTACGAAAAGCCAATTATCCAAATATAACTGAACAAAACCGATGACTTTAATAGCTGCGGATCGTATAGCTTTGTATAATGTCCCAGTTAAGACGAATGAAAAATCTGGACAAAAGTAATATAGAACATTTAATAGATGTAAGTCTCTTAAATAAGTATACAAGTATACAAATCAGATTACTTATACTGCTATTAAAACACACACAAAACCGGTCAAATAAAGCAGAACATAATCATTCATTGACAATATTTGAATCAGATTATTTGTATTTGTATATTATTTCCTACAATCAGATCGGGTGCCGATTATTTTTCACAGTAAGAAACATTCAATTTGCCAACCATCCTATCAGCTTGTTTTATTCCAAATTATCCACTTCTTTTCCAGGTTAATTCTCCCTTTTAGACATTAATATACTGATATATTGTTTTCATGATCTCACGACTTGTTCTAAATTTTACTGATAAATGGAATTGTTTTTTTCACTATAAAATTTACACTTCTACACTGACAGCAGCAATCACAGGTGACCACCGGGTTCCGCGGAACCCTTTGTGAATTTTTGTTTAAAAAACTAGAAAATGTAAAGAAGAAACATATCATTTTAAGGCCACAATCATTCACATTGTGTTTGTGAAAAAGGGCGTTTTAAATAAGTTAATTTGTTTCATAAGGAGGAAGAAAGTTTCTTATTAGTTAAAAACAATAATAAAAACAACAATGCTTGTTTAAATGTTTTTTTTTTTCTGTTTCAGTATCTCATGCATTGAATAAATGGGTTTTGTTATTAATGTTGAACAAATGGTTTGTCCCGAGAATGACCCCCCCCCCCCTTCAATAAGAAGAGAAAGATTAATGGTCTGCGATAACTATATTTATTTTTCGTTATAGTTGGTATTCTGTTGAATATGACTGTTGTTTGGAAGTTTGGAGATGGCTTGTCAGCTATACTGTTAGTAGTCCTTTGTCAATTTATGTTTATCATTGTCATTTTGCTTAGTTTCTTCTGTTACCTATTCTAACGTCGGACTCGGACTTCTTTTAAACTGAGTTTTACTGTGCGTTTTGCATTGTGTTTATTTATTCCACATTGGTTAGATATATAAGGGGAGGGTTGAGATACCGCAAAGCATGTTTAACTCTGCCACATTTTTGTGCCTGCCCCAAGTCGGGAACTCTAGCCTTCGTTATTTCAATTTTGGTTCACTTTGTATGTTTCGGAGTTTACTATGGCTTCCATTTCTCTGAACTAGTATACATAATTGTTTAGAGGCTAACTGAAGCACGCCTCCGTTCTCGCTGCATAGGTGACCTTTGGTTGTTTTCTGCTCTTTGGTCGGGTTGTTGTCTTTTTGACACATTCCCCTTTTCTATTTTGTATTCTATAATACAGAAAAGAAAGTTTATTTTTTTGGTAGAAAATAACTTTATCTAACGCAGTTGCTAACATCTACGTCATTTGGCCTCTGGTTGATAATTACCTCATTGGCAATCATGTCATATCTTCTTATTTCTATATGAATATTTTGCAATGAAATTTATGGAATATAAAGACAATAAGACAACAATCGTTCACCTATACATGTATGTTACAAAAAAAAAGCATCCAGACAGTTTTCATCAGATAAGAGTCAACGCCGTATGATAAGGTCTTCATAGCTCGGAGTCGAAACTGATATCAAAATAGTTACAAAACGTAGAAATAGCTTTGACGAACACCACGTTTTCATAAAATATGGCGAGATAGTGACCACCTCCTGCGACATTACTGATTTGGGACAGCAACAAAATGTAGGCATACATGTATAAAATTGAGAATGGAAATGGGGAATGTGTCAAAGAGACAACAACCCGACCATAGAACAGACAACAGCAGAAGGTCACCAACAGGTCTTCAATGCAACGAGAAATTCCCGCACCCGGAGGCGTCCTTCAGCTGGCCCCTAAACAAATATATATACTAGTTCAGTGATAATGAACGCCATACTAAACTCCAAATTGTACACAAGAAACTAAAATTAAAAATAATACAAGACTAACAAAGGCTAGAGGCTCCTGACTTGGGACAGGCGCAAAAATGCGGCGGGGTTAAACATGTTTATGAGATCTCAACCCTCCCTCTATACATCTAGCCAATGTAGAAAAGTAAACGCATAACAATACGCACATTAAAATTCAGTTCAAGAGAAGTCCGAGTCTGATGTCAGAAGATGTAACCAAAGAAAATAAACAAAATGACAATAATACATAAATAACAACAGACTACTAGCAGTTAACTGACATGCCAGCTCCAGACTTCAATTAAACTGATTGAAAGATTATGTCTTCATCATATGAATATCAGGCACAATCCTTCCCGTTAGGGGTTTAGTATCATACCATCATAACATATATGAGAAGAACATAACCCGTGTCATGCCAACAACTGGTTTTTAAATAAATGTGTTTAGTGCCGATGCAAAGACCCTATAAGTGAATCAATATTAACGCCAAAATATGCAATCTTTAATGACCTGACAAAAGTATCGTAACTATATCCCTTCTTAATAAGTCTATTTAAAGGTTTTGTTAGCTTCAGAGGTGAATACTGACATTTTTGTGCTTTATAAAGAATATTTCCATAAAAAATTGGATGTGAAATACCTGAACGTATAAGAAGTCTGCATGTTGAGCTATATTTACGAATGATGTCCTTATACCGATGATAAAATTTAGTAAATTTTTTGACTAGTTTGTGATATCGAAAACCCTGGTGTAATAATTTTTCAGTAATACATAAATTTCTCTCGTTAAAATCTAAAACATTGTTACATACACGAGCGAATCGTACAAGTTGAGATATATAAACACCGTAAGATGGTGACAAGGGAACGTCACCATCTAAAAATGGATAATTAACGAAAGGAAATGAAAAATCATCTCTTTTATCATATATTTTAATATTAAGCTTTCCGTTAATGATATAGATATCAAGATCGAGGAAAGGGCAGTGGTCATTGTTAGTATTAGCTTTATTTAAAGTAAGTTCAACAGGATAAATTTCTTTAGTATACATACTGAAGTCGTCATTATTGAGAGCCAAAATATCATCCAAATATCTAAAAGTATTATTAAATTTGTGTATCAGATGTTGTTTCGATGGGTCTTTGCTGATTTTTGTCATAAATTGTAACTCATAGCAATACAAAAAAAGGTCCGCAATAAGTGGTGCACAGTTAGTCCCCATTGGAATTCCGATAACCTGACGATATACGGAATCTCCAAAGCGAACAAAAATGTTATCTAGTAAAAATTCAAGGGCATATATAGTATCAAAGCATGTCCAATTGACATGGTTTTTTTGTTTATTGCTACTAAAAAATGACCTAAAAGAGTTTGAACATATATATTCACATTCTGACTTTTTAAATGCCCATTTAATTAGGTGTGTGAATTTTTTCTTAATGAGAATGTGAGGCAATGTGGTATATAGGGTAGAAAAATCAAAACTTTGAACAGATTCAAAATCACCAATATATGCATGTAATTTATCAAGTACTTCCAACGAGTTCTTGACACTCCAAAAGTAATTAATTCCACTATTTTCGAAGGCCTTATTTGAACAATTTATTATCAGGTTTTTGATTGTACCAAGTGTACTGGTAAGAAGAATAGACAATTTAGTAGTGGAACAATGGCTTGAAGACGAAATGAATCTATATTTGTAAGGTGTTTTGTGTAGCTTCGGAAGCCAATACATAGTTGGGACTTTCATTGTATTTGGTTCTGCTTGTAAAGCGGTAGCTAAAAGTTTATGTTTGTTACAGATGTCGTTTTCTGAAAATGGAGTCAGTTGGAATGTTGGTGAATTGGTGATTTCTTTTTTCAGAACCTCAATGTAAAATTTACGTCAAACAATAATAATATTATTAGCAGCTTTATCGCCCGGGACAAAAACAAATTCCTTGGCTAGTTCTTTTAGTTTATGTTTGATACGAGAAATAGGTTTATTGTGGTTATTGTTAAGAGTAAAATGTTCTTTAAAATGATGAATACGTATATCAACTA